AAAAAAAAAAAAAAAAAAAGATAAAAAATGCATTGACCCATGTCACTTTAGTTTTGTGTATTTCACTGTACATAAATTATATTTTAATAAAGTGCACTAAAAAGAACTCCATGTTTCATTTTGAGAAATTGGACTCAAGCCATTTCCTGCTCTAGTCATTATAAAATAAATAAATAGTAATAGCTGTTATTTGCACAGTAATCAGGATTCCATCCAGAAATGCTGTGTACATGGATACTAAGTCATGTTATTGTTATAATCACTAGTGTTAGGATAATGAGGTTCTTCCTTGCTCATTTCTAAAAAATTTAATGTTTAGCTAAGTTGTAATAGATGGGAGGCTAGGCATTAAAAATTCAAAGGTTGTACTAGGTACCCTGTGGGTATACCTTAAATAGTTGTTGGATGACTAATCAGTTATTTCATGAGTCCTACCACAGGTGAGGTGATTGTCAAGAGTTGAAGGAGTAAACTCACACAAAGGATGAGCTTGAAGGGAAACTTCCATAACATTCTCACCACACATATAAAGACTGTCTTACGTATTCTGAAGTGTCTTCAAAATGTGAATGGAAAATTATGATTACCAAGACAATAAAGTAAAAAAAAATTATTTTATATGGAGCTTGTTTTCAATTGCGTACCTAGAATTTCTTTCTGGGAAGAGTTGAGTCTTATGGAACACTTTAAGCTGCCCCAGGTTAACAGGCTATTGCATCAGGATGAAATCTTGAACTGATACATGTTCAGACAACTTCCTTCTGAAATCTTAGGCTTCATTCACCTAAAAACAAAAACAAAAACAAAAATGAAATCACTACCATCAAGTCAATTCCAACTCATAGCAACCCTCAATGGGTTTCTAAGGCTGTAAATTCTTAGGGAAGCAGGTTGGGCAATCTACTTCTGTAGTGATACCACCTTGAAAACCCAAGGAGGGGTCGCTATGAATGGAGTCTGACTCCACCGCACTTAACAACAACAACTGGTGGCATAGGGCCTAAGGCATTTGACTGCTAACCAGAAGGCTGGTGGTTCAAATCCACCAGCCACTCCTGGGAAGGAAGGTTGGGCAATCTACTTCCATTGTGATACCACCTCGGAAACCCAAGAAGGGGTCGTCGTGAGTAGGATCCGACTTGATGGCAGTGGGTCTGGTTTTGGTTTGGTAATCTTTCCTAAACACAAGATTCCCGTGACCATATTAAGGATATTCATTCCAAAAACATGTGTTAAGGCTAGGTCCTTGTGAGTCTCTGAAAGTCAGAGACACAAGTCCTGCTTCAAACAACTTTAGAGTTTACAGTTCAGTGGTAGAAATATGAAGTAGAAAACAACATAAAAGATTACATATTAAATTCCATGAGGTGTCTCGCCTGGAACAGGTACTGGGCCTTACACATCCTCTGTGTCTCCAATGTCAAGCCCAGTCTGGCAGAGTAATGAATTGAAATTCATTTAGAGGCTGGAACTGGCTGAAGAGGAAGCCAGGAAGATCCCTTGGAGGAGGGAACATGTGATCTGGTTCTGGATTTGTATACAGATATAGTACAGAAGGGCTTTACAGGGAAAGAAAGGAGCTCTGGTGGGGCTGTAGTTAAAGCATTGGGCTGCTAACCAAATGGTTGGTGGTTGGAACCTGTCAGTGACTCTGTAGGAGAAAAATGAGGCAGTCTGCTTATGTAATGATTTACAGCCTTGGAAACCCATAGGGGCAATTCTACTGTGTCCTATAGGGTGACTCTGAGTCAGAATCGACTGGATAGCAGTGGGTTACAGGTCAATAGGGATATTGTACTAATATTAATATGTATTAATATGTAGTATGTGGCATGTTATAGATATTAGAATCAGAGCTTCTCAGGTCTACCATGGGTTATGATATTTTTCTGCGTGTCAATTTGCTTGGCAGTGGTGGATAGACCATAGTCTGTAACAGTAAGATATATCTGAGTTTGAATCTCTCCTATACTATTTTGTACTATTTTGCTGTTAGTGTGGGATCGGTTCAACTCATGGTGAGTCCCATGCATAACTGAACTAAACGCTACCCAGCCGTGTGCCATGCTCATGGTCACTTCCAGATGCAAATTGGACCGTTGCAGTCCATGGGGTTTTCATTGGCTAATTTTTGAAAATAGTTCGCCAGGCCTTTCTCCCTTGTTTGTCTTATTCTGGAAGCTCCACTGAAACCTGTTCAGCATCATAGCAACACACAAGGCTCCACTGAAGGGTGATGGCTGTGCATAAGGTGCATTGGCTGGAATTGAGTCTGGGTCTCCTGCACAGAAGTGAGAATTCTACCACTTCATTACCAATCCCCTGGGATAGCCATGTGATTTTGAATCATGTTTACAAACTTTCTGTGTCTATTTTCTCAGCTATAAAACAGCAGTATACCTATTTTGGGCCTAGCACATATTGGGCTACTTCATCAAATGATAGCTTAAAAAAAAAATCTATCTACTCAAAAAACGCTTTCCAATTTCATCTTGAAATTTTCTTAAAAAAAAAAAAAAAAACGCCAATAGACTAAGCCCATGGCTTAATGTTAAAAGCAGGACTGGGAGTCAGAGGACCTGGCTGTATCATTAGCCAGCTCCCAGTCTTTGCTCACATAACCTCACCTCCCTGGGCCTGTTTCTTCCCTTAAAATGAGAGGGTGGTCTCCGTCTGCACTGTCTGTACTGTCCGCATACAGTAGTCACTACACACACGTGGCTATGAAGTACGCCTAGTTCATATGATATACACACAACTGGATTTCAAAGACAAAAGGAGAAGTAAAATATTTTCTGATAAATTTAATATGACTATACTTGGAAATAGTATTTTTCACATGTGGGTTAAATAAAACACATAAATATTATTTTCACCTTTTTCTTTTTTGATGTGGCTACTAGAAAATTTAAATTACATATGGGGCTCGCATCATATTTCTATTGGTCAGCGCTGGTCTAGAATATCTCTGATACTCCTTTTAGCTTTAAGGCTGTCTGCCAGTGACACGATGGACACGTAATTCTTATGGTTTGATTTCCTTGCATTGAGATATTGAAGGATTGGCCGGGAGAGAGCAGGCGTGGGGCGGAGCCCTGCAGGGAAAATACAGGCCCTTCCGACTTTCACTATCACTAGAGAAGCTGGAAGGACCTCGGCTCCCCACCGGGGACTAGCAGCGGACGCGCTGCGTTCAGTCTCTAGGCCGGGGGCATCAAGGGGTCGGGGCGGGCGCAGCTGGCCGGGCGGGGCCCAACCGGGAAGCGGGTTGGTGCGTCAGCCTCACGCGCCGGGAAGGAAGCCGGTCCGAGGCACCCGGCGGCCCGCGCGGGCGCCGCAGCACGTCCGCAGGCTTCGCCAAGGGTGGCGGTCGCTGAAAGGCGGGCGAGTCGAGGGCGGGCCTGGGAGGCGGTCGAGAGGTGGGGCGCCGCTGGGGGCAGTCCGGCGCGGGCTTCATTTGAGGGCGCACGGCCTGCGCGCGAGTACTATACGAGCGTGGTGCACGAGCAGACGCTGCGGCTATGTGTCGCCGCTGGGGATTCTTGATCGGCTTCCTGGGCGCGGTGTGCCTACTAGGCTCCGGCAACGGCGGGCAGCAGCCCCCAGAGACGGCGGCGCAGCGGTGCTTCTGCCAGGTGAGGAGTGCGCGCGTCCGTGGCAGTCCCCACGCCCCGGCAGGTGAAGGGCTAGGGGTGCGCCTTTGCAGTTCTACCCTCCCTGAATGAGACCCCTTTGCTTCTGCTAACTGGGGCTCAGTCCTCTACAGATCACCTTCGGATCAGGCGCTGGGAAAGGGTGTAGGTGCACGCTGTTTATACCTCTTTGTTGGTTCTTCCTGCCCGGAAGGATGGGCGCGCACAACCAGTATTGTTATTTTCACAGAACTCAAGTCTTCCTAACTTCTAACTTGAACTGGGACTTGTGTGCGGTGTACCTGTTCTGGGTGCCTTCGCCTGCCTTTCTGGCCAGGACACGCTTTTGTAGCGGAGCTGCTTTCATATTTCGTTGTCAGGCAGGAGAATGGCTACGTGTGACGTTTCTGTGCCTAAGTCCATCTTCTTGGTCTCTTTGGAGTCGGTGTTGCCCTGTGGTTCGTCGTCCTGCGTGTGTTTTTTCCCACCCCTCCCCCCCGCCCCGAACGTATTGTGATTATTTTACCGTGACACCCGTTTAACTGGCCTGAAGTAGGAAGATAGTAGGATGATAGTCCTTCCTCCTCAACCCACACGTTTGGTTACAAGCTTATTACGGTCATTTGCGTCTTTAGGTAAGAGATTTGATTTAACTGAACAAAAAATTCAAAGAAACGTACAGATTTCTGATGTTTATGCTAATAGTATTCCATTATCATTATTCTTGTTAAAACCACCTTTTGGTTGGGTTCTGCTGATAAAATTTACATTTTATACAACACTGAGGAATGGGCACCCAAATTGTTCCTTGTCAGTGGATTTTACTGTTATTTATCATTGGAAATAACATTTGCGTATGTAGGGGCGTGATGCTATTTTATAGTGGAAAAAAGTGATTTAAATACTCCTTCAAATTCTTGAATTTTGTGGTTTTGCGTGTTGGAGAGGAGGTCAGTGTTACCCAGGTAGTTAGTTGTAAGGGAAGTTAAAGGTAAATTGCTGGTTTACAACGGAAAAATGGAAAAGCTCCTGTATTTTCTGTGTTCGCAAATAGTACACAATCAAATACTTAAAAGGTAGCTTTAATTCTGATTGCGAATATAACGTAATGCATTTAAACATTTTAAAAATAAAAATAAGTAACTTAGAAATAAGTAACTTTAAAATTAGGTATTCAGTGCTGAAAGATGATGTTCAAAGTAGTATTTCAAGTAAATTCTATAGATTTTGGTAATGGAGTAAAAGTTCATGTTGAACTGTTCAACTTTCATTCAACTCCTCTACCCAACTTTTTTAGATATCAGGCAAAAATTGGGGCACTTTTACTTTCTTACATTTATTTTGTCTTCTGATTAGTGATTAAACTTTTCCCCCATTCACAGTTTCTTCACATTTAAGTACTCTCCCAACACAAAAGGGTTATTTATTAGACCCTTTTCTGCCCTTCTAGAACAAGACTTGCTATTGGTTTTTCTTTTCTGGGTCAATTTACAAGGTAGTAAATTGAGGATAACATAGTAAAAAGCAATTTTTAAGAGAAATTTAAAATGATTTAAAAAAAAAAAAAAAAAACCCTTAGAGCAGAGGCCATCAATTCCAATTCAGTAAATGAAACAAAGAAAAGTATGCTTCAGTTCTATTATGGCCAGTAGGAAAAGGAGTGAGGGTCAGGGGACAAGAAGGAAGAGGAAATGATAATGAATAGAAATGAAGAGAAAAATAGAGACAAGCATACAGACATGCAGACGGGGGAAGGGAAGGAGGAGGATAAATGGAGATAAGGGGAGATGAGTGGTGTCAAGTATTCATTCATCAAACATTTATAAACGTGTATGCTGACCTGAGTGCTTTTGATGCAGCATGATCCCTGCCCTGAAGAGCTCACAGTTTAGTGAATAATGTTCATTTTAAGGAGGGGGGTGGCAATCCTAAACTTTTTTTTTTTTTTTT